TATAAATGATTAATATCAAATATAATATACAAAACATATAAAGTATAAACAAATTTTTCTGTAAGGTCTAAAATAAATTATGTAGTACTGTATAATTATGCCCTTTTTAAAAGATTAATAATTACAATATAATTAATTTCTAAGTTATACTAAGACAACATGCAACTCTGTCATACTGTGACAGAACTGAGGCAGAGCCAGAAAGAAAGGAGCTACCCTTGCACTTGTTAGGTACAGAACAGGTGAGACTTGTATGGCGATCATAATCCTACACATGATTGACCTGGATCTAATACAGTACGCAAAATGTACAGACATCATCAACAACTCTTGGGTTCAGAAGGAACTCAATAGGCATCCTAATACTATGTTTACACTAGAAAAAGTAAACAAGTTTAATTCATTAAACTAGTTTAGCAGTTATAGTATGAACAGAATTAGTTCAGCCAAACTAGTTTAAAACATCACAAAGCTGTTTAAATGCAATTATCTAGGAAGTTTAAACTTGAAGAGTAGTCAAGCTTTCTTGTTGGACAGGGATCTTGAACAGAACTGCATGTGCTGTCACTATGAAAATATAATTTCATAACCTGAAAATCTGGATGCTGTTTTGATCAGAACTGATTTCAATACATTTATGTAACATGTAGATTAAGTAAATGAAACTCACTCTATATTTTAATTAATGTATATTGCCATTTGATTTGATAGCAAATGTGGTTGTTGTGCCAAGAGGCAGGAAGTTATTTAACCGAGTTCATTAAAATTATTTCTAAATAAGTTTAACTTTCCTAACGTAAACATAGTGTAACAATCTCAGCCAGGTTGCATTGACAAAACTATGTCAAACTGCTGGTTAACTCATGGATAACTTTTTGAAGAAATGAAAGGTTCCCAATTACAATATAATAACGGATGATAAATACAAAAACCAGAAAGCACATTTTAAAGGATACATTTCCAGACACACTATGCACAAAATCTGTCACATCATATCAAGTCAGGTTGCAAACTTTTGACACAGACTACTTACATCAACATTATCAAGTAGCAAATGCAATACATCAAAAGCTTGCATGCAAATACAACCATACTACATATACAGATCCTAGATGGTCATAGAAAACAACCTACAAAAATATACTATGACAAGTCAATCAATCATAGACAAAACAAGATCACACATATGTACTGTACATTGTGAATGTTTGATACATAATAGAAATATTGTGGCTACAAGATACAATATGTCTATAATGTGCCTTTATCGAGATCAGTATATCAATAAAGCAAAATACATTAATTTACAAAAGTACAAGGTAATGCCTACAAAAGGTTAGAGATGACTGCCACCATTTATAACAACAAAATATATAAATTGAAAAATTAGTAAATACTCCACACTTGCTCAGGAAATATAGTACTGTACATATGCAGAATGAATAGAGTACTTATTGTGCTTGTGTTCTTTTCTTGCACAGGTGTCATACCACATAGACTATAGAAAAGCCTAGAAATATTAGGACTTAATAATAGCAGATACATCACATTATAAAATCAACCATGCTGAACACATGCCACACAGTTAGAAATTCTTAAAGACAGAGATATACACAAACATCACATAACCATAGTAATCAGTAGCAAGTAGTCTTAATTAACAGATCACTATTATTATTTCATGATTGAAATATTATATCTTAATACAATTATATATTTTACTAAAAAATTATTCTCATGGTATGGTGATAAGACATTTCAATAATATCATTTCATTTTTTATAGATTCTAATATACACTGACAATTACTGTAAACCTAATACAATGAAAGTTACATTTGTTTGCTCTAATAGAAACTAAACTCTTCTCATTTTCAACAATTCAAGATTTATTAACAAAAATATTTTGCTCTAAATTTAGATAAGATATTTTTATATCATTCACTGCTTCCTTTTTCAATAAATTAAAAATAAAATGATAAAAGAAAGCAATATGCCTAATTTTAAAACAAACCAATGATAGATATATGATATAAACAACTGACTGCAATCTATAAGAATGAACATTATTTAAATTATAAAATTATACAGAAAAATTTGAACAGCTTCATAGCATCTCCTGTCAACCCATTCCTTGGTCTTAAGAAAGAAAGGAGAAAAAATATTGGCAATAACAAATTAACATTCTCTCATAGAAAAGAAGTACCCTTAAGGTCCCTCTACTATTTGCTAAACTAAAATCTAGGAGAAAAGTCCTCATCAAGTGCGATCTAAAGAATTCAAACTTAAATACTGAAACACCCTCATTCAGATATCCTGATATATTGACTTACACTTAAATAAATACTACTGTATTAAAAATTACAATTTCATTATGTAATAAAACTTTATGTTGAACTATTATAATTATTAGAACTTGCCTCTTCTATCTAGAATTCTTCCAATTTGGTCAAATTCATCATCTAATTTCTTATTTAATGTATCAGACATTGGCTCGCCATCTTCCATGTCATCGTCGTCATTAAACCACATTTCTTCGTCTTCGTCTAACTGCCGGGGATCCCTACGAAATCGGTTATTCCTTAAAATGGAGGGCATGCTGCAAAAATTTAAATATATGTTTAAAAAAAAACAGTAAACTAAATTAAAATAATTTTTTTTTAATTTAAAAAAAGAAAAACAAAAATTATACATTTATACTCTATATTGTTTTTGTATTTTACTTTGTATTATCATAATATGAAACATGTTTCAATTTTACAGAGGACAATTTCTTACTAAATTAAATTAAATTGTGCACAGTTACAAATTCCACATGAAACATTACTTTATTCCCAAATGATTTTTAAATATTTAAAATTTCATTATTTTCATTAATTACTTGACCTCTTCCATCTCAGGGAAATGAATCATAAAATTATTTATTGTTTTTGCTGACAAAAATAATGTTAATGAATTGAACACGATGATTTTTCCTCTCTGCTATTATCTTTGACAAAAGAGTATTTTCATGTAATATTTTAATTTTGTTTTATGAACTATAGTTTATTTTGATATGAATATATCACAAAACTATGTGTGTGTGTAGTACATTAAAATAATACTACTGGTAAATTTTTCTATATATCTGAACCAAAACAGTCCTGATTAAATTGTTTAACCAAAGTAGATTATGAAGAAATACTTAACCAAGAGAATGTAATATATAAGTTTGTTCTACAAATCTTTGCTGGGTGTTGCAAGCTATTTGAAATATCTATAGTTAATAGAAGTTTCAAAAAAATTTACTTTGATTATTTCTCATTAAAATACAAATTTTAAAGAAAATTTAAAATTTTAGTTGCAATCACATATTTACAATTGCATAATAAATAATATTGGTAGTAAAATTAAGTGTTTTATTGTGTGTTCAATAACTAATTCTAGCCTTAAAACAAAGCACAGTTGACCCCCTATAACACTGTTGATAATTCCGTTTTATATGAATTCCATGTTGTACGAGTCACTTAGATTTTACAAATACGTGTGCTGGGCTGTGAACGGCTCGCGTATTTGTAAAATCTAAGTGACTCGTACAACATGAAATTCATATAAAACGGAATTATCAACAGTGTTATAGGGGAGTCAACTGTACTATACAGTACACTTTACAAGATAATGCATCCAAATCTAGTTTAATGATTTACCAAACATTCCATATTATCAGATATTTAATTATCTGAAATAACTTTGGTTTGCTTTACTTTGGATAATCAGAACTTTGTTGTACATGAAATAATAAGTATATTATTACTCATCATTGATCATTACCAGTGGCGTGCGATGACATTTGATGGTAGGGAAGCTATGCTGACCCTGGATAGAATCATTGGAAGCATTATACAATACTTTGGTGTGTAGCATCCATCAGCTAAACTGCCAGAGGTTGGTGCTCTGTAAAATGCATGCGTGAATGCGTGTAATCTGGCTGCTTTACACCATTCAGATTTTTGGCTGTGTAAGCTGTCCTGTATTAGACAATACACAGCTTCCATTGGGAATATGCATATATGAATTTATATTGCAATAGCAATCTCATTATTGTTTTTCACATGTGTAGAAATTTGTAATAAGATACATAATGCAGTTATAATAAAATATTAATTTTAATTAATTCAAAGTATGTTAAAATATGAAAATAATCGCACAATATGTATGTATATTTTAGAAAATACAAGGGAAGTGGCGCTTCCACAGCTTCCATGGACGGCATGCCACAGATCATTACTCATATTAATGATCTTTTACATGAATTTAATTGCAAGATTTTCAAAAAAATTTTCAAGAACAGAGAACCCATAAACAATTCTTAATTCTTTAAACTTTATTCTGAAATCAGAAATATAAACATAATTATAACTACTAACTATAACCAATCAATAATGATTACTATTTTATGAATGTCAACTCCCTTGTTTAAAATAATCTTATGTTCTACTATCTTTTCACAATTATAGACAGTAAAACATTAATTAAGCAGTCTAGAGCAAATGAAAGCAAAAATTTAGTAGTGTTTTGCAAAATCTGAATTTGCTTGATAATTGTCAACTGGACTAATTAACATTTTTTATTTTATTTTTATAAAATATATTTGACACAGTGAAATGCTTTCATATACCAAAAACTGTTTTGGAAAAATAATTTAAGTTTATCATTTCAAATAAATAACTAACCTGTCAAGAGATGAACGATCTTTTAACCTGTCTTGATGTTGTTCATAACGTAATCGAAGAGATTTAAATGTTTGAACATAATCAACTTTGTCCAAAATTTTGCCATACTTTTCTACTACGTGGGTACATAAGGATTTTACATCTTCCTGAAATATAAATAATTAAAACAATATTTAATTTTATCCAATTTCATATTAAATATATTCTTATTTATAATTTCAAACATTTTTATGAATTACAATTAAAATAAATAATCTATAATCATAAGAAAACAGAACTTAGAATATTCTAATTTATTTCATTAATATATTATTGAAAAGAAAAACACATATTAAAGTAACGTATTGAAAACTGAATGTCAGTAAGAGATAATGTTTTTGAAATTAAGGCATTCTGCAATAGAAAAGATGATAATGAAAAGTTACAAGAAGTTAATAAAATTAAAACACAACTACATTGTATATCTAAAAGCCTTATAACTTTAAAATGTAGAAGAACTAGTACTTATATTCTTATCAATTTCATAGTTATTTTCCTCATCAGTAATAACATTAGTAAAAATAAATTTTATAGTGATTTTACTCATATCACTTTTATATATCATTAATTGATACACTATATTAATATAATAAATATAAATACAACTTTTGTACAAAGAAAAATTCTTTGTTTCAGTCATTTTTTCGTTGTTCACATTTTTATTTAAAATGTATCATGTGATTGTGGCAAGAACACCAGAGGACACTTTTATCATTTTTTGCATTTTAACTACGGAGGCAGTAGCCTAAAACTAAAGGTCGTCTCCGTGAGTATTTGTGTTTTTTAATGAACTGCTGATGGTGCGAACAACGAAAAAATGACTGAAACAAAGAATTTTTCTTTGGAAAAAGTTGTATTTATATTTATTATATTAATATTAAATAATCGTTGGCCATGTAAACTTATTATTTTTATTTAAAACTAGCTGCAAGGACCCGCTTCGCTGGGTTTTTATTTGTATGTAATATAGTTTTTTTTATATATATATATAAAAGACTGTTTTTCTAAGTAATCTAGAATCTAGCTGCAAGGACCCGGTTCGCTGGGCAAAAAGTAACGATAGTGAAGATTAAGATAATTACATTATAGCCAATCTTACCCGTTTTCACAGAATGCAAGAATTAGGTCCCCCGTTTCCAGACTAATTAGAGAATTTTTACGTTTAGTCAAACAAACTATTTTCAACATTTCTGGAATGTTTACAATCGTTCTATAATCGAACCAATATTTGAATTTTATGTTCGAATTTAATTCAAGCAAAACATTCGAAATAGAAAGCCACTTTCAACCACTTTCAGCCTCATATCTCCTGCACCCTTATAGCTATCGAGACGCAACCACCCCTATGCATGAATGGAGACTTGGGGCTACCACCACATACAAACAGCATTCACGTGCGATGTGTACTTTTTGCGTAAAAGTGAAATATAGGGACACACACGTCCATATATATATTGATGATACATTATAACTGAATATTATCATTTGGAGAAAAACTACAGTTGAACAAGTGAAATGATAAGCATCAAATTTAATTTTACTTTGTCCCATTTAATGTAAGAGAATTTTGTATATTTAACACACAAACAACTCAACAAACTCAATTTTTGATTAAAGTCAAACAATCTGTCAAAATATTGTGCTATGATTAAACTAAGTTAATAATTAGATAGGATAAATTTAATTCAACTAGCTACATTAAAATCACAGTAATAGAAAGTACATTTGTATAGAAATTTCCCACTCTTTTGGCATACCAGAGAGGGAAGAAAGTTTTATCCTGGAATGTTGCTCATTTTGAGAAATTAGCAAAAACTTGCAAACTTCATGAAATCACACCAAATGCCAATGTCACAAATTATGCAAATTTTTGTCAAATTCACAACAGAGGTATTTTGAATTGCTTATTTCATAAAATTGGAATTTTATAACATATACTGAGGTGTATGTGTACAGTGTAATGTGGGAGAGAGTTGTAAAAAGTATACCACTGTACACAATAAAGAGGAGGGGTTAAAACATTGTCTATACAGACATGGTATTAGTGGCATATAAATTTCTTCTTATAAGTTTACTTTTCTAGTTGTGTGAATAAACTATCAGTTAAAATATGTTTGTAGATCTTTTTATAAGGTCATTTCTTCAATTTCATGGTGGGTCTGTGGAACTGTTGTATACTTAACTAAAGGGAAGGAGATTTGCCAAAAGTACATCATTGAACACAATAGAGAGGAAGGGGATCAAAAGGTTCTGAAAAACTGCACACACAATTAATGGACAGCCCTATTTGTAATTCTAAATATATTTGTCATTTCTGAGTAATAATTTAACATTAAACAATTAATATTCAAAAACAAATTAACACACCAGGAACTAATGTATTATCATTCTTATAAATTTATTTTTTGAATCAACACATTAATCTAATTTTGAAACTAAATATGTAAATTAACATATAGTATATTTTGATGTAATTAATAAGTTAATTTAATTAACCAATTACTATGTATATGATCTACTATCTTTTGGTATTAATCAAATATTATATTACTTAGTTTTTCATTAATTAATGTAATGTTGGATAGTATAAATCCTGAGTTAGACCAAAGATAAGCCATTGACGTTAACATTTAATGAGAGTTAAACAGTAATTTTATATTAGTTAAGATTTAAATAGCTGTTACATTAAATGCTGGATTAAGACTTAAGAATATATAAAGAAAAAGTAAGTACCTACAGCAAAATCTTGTTATGAAGTTTCTTAAATTAGAAACTCCGTAACAAGGTAAAAGGAAAAAAATACATGCTTTCACTATACATAAGATCATAAATTTACCATAATTCTGCACTAGTTGAACAGCACAATTCACAATTTGGCACAACTGCCAATTTTGTGAATTTAACAAGAATATTGCCAAATCTGTGAAATTGGCACATCAATTAGAGATTTCTTAAATTATGCAAATTTTTACTTATTTTATGAAATGAGCAACATTCTTAAGTTTGGCATAACACATGAATAAAATAAATGTCTTTACTTTTATATAGGTAAATGTCTCTTCAATCCGAACAAAATTTCGGTAGACTTTCTCACAGCTCTACAGGTTAAAAATCTCCTTTATTGTTTTTCACATATGCATTTCGGGCAAGTTTAATTTTCCTGCCCCTCTTCAGTGCTTAAGATTTTCCCACATGTTCATTCATCCTTTTTACAGTACTTGTACTATCAATTTACAATGTTTTCAAATTTATAATTTCCTCTTAAGGGTGTTTTACATCGAAATCCGTACTATTATGCTACACAAATGTTTTTCTTTAAAAGTGTCACAACAATAACAGAGTAGTATACGTTGTATAAACTTTAAAAAGGTTCAACATACAATAAAATTTTTCATTTACACGACAATGTATAATCTTAGAAATATTAGAAAATTATTAGAAATTAGAAAATTAATATTAGAAAATTAGAAAAACAATAAAGGAGATTTTTAACCTGTAGAGCTGTGAGAAAGTCTACCGAAATTTTGTTCGGATTGAAGAGACATTTACCTATATAATACGTAATACAGCTACCATTTAAAATTCAACAAGTCTTTACTTTTATCTTATTCATATACTATATCACGCCTATAAAATTTAATACACATATGACAATTAAAATTATGAACTGCAATTTTGCCCTCAGGTCAAGATATACATTCTATCCTAAACATAAATTTTATGTTTAATTTAAAAATGGCAGACAGTATATTTACAATATATATAAAATACAAAAGTTATAAAAAACAACAAGGGCTGAAACAAAGACTTTTTTATGCTTTTATATTTTATATATATTGTAAATTATATAGTTAAATTTCATAATTAAATACAGTCGACCCCCCTATAATGCGGATTTGTATATCGCGGCAAAAAAATTGCGACCGCATTTGTATAAAGACGCTAAAAGAGACTCATAAAATGCGGTAAAACGTCATCGCCGACTCGTGTCGCGGCAGGATTGGTCGAATCTGGACCAATAGTAGATGAGCAGCCGAACTACTTACATGCTATGGAGAGTTTAGGTGGGTAAGTTGAGTTTACTATCATCTGTACAGTATATAAATTAAGTACTGTATGTCTAATACAGTACTGTAATTTTATACATTTCTTGTGAAAAAAACATCTCTTATTCAACGGCCATAAAAATTATTTCTATTAACTATGTCTCCAAAGTTCAGCGAATTTTTCACAGAAAAATAACTTATCAGAAAATGCGCCCGCCGTTCGATGTACTGCTCTGCGATGAAAACAAGCTTAAGCAATGGTGCCATAGAATGGTGCACACTTGGTAAGTAATCCTACAATTTTTTGTTTATAGCATAGTTTATACGGATTATTCCCAAAAAATTATACATGTTTTGGAAATGTTGAGTCAAATTAGTCTAGACTTGATTAATTTTATGGAAGAAAACCTTTCAAACAGCCGTAGTCCGTAAACAGCACACATGCTGGGCTGTGATTNATTAAAAAAATTTTTTTTTTTTTAAAGTAAGATTTTCTAGATCCCAAATTCCAATCTCTTCTATTATTATATATTACAAAGTTTTCATTCTTTTCTGTAAGTGATCAAAATAAATATATCAAACAAACCAAATTTTTAAGTGAAAACATGCATTCTTTGATCGGTTTATCAAAGAATTTTTTCTTTATTATATTTACTATTTTTGAGATAAAATAACAATAAATACTCACCAAGAACAAGGAATGTATGCTTTGACTGCATGAGTACCAAAATCCTGCGCAACAAATCCTTATGAAGGATGTAATTTTTAATATGATAAGTATGATGTTCCACGCAAAAAGATAGAAGCTCCAGTATTAAACCGAGTAACTGTGCAGTTTGTATATCTTCTAAAAAGACAAATTTTTAATATAAATATTAATTAAGACAATTTGTTCTAAAAAATATATATACACATATACATAACATTATATAATGAAATTCACAAAATAAAGAAAATATTACCAAACATTATATTTATATCTTAAAATAGAAAGAGATTTAAAAAAGATCTTTTATTACTCACTACTTTAATAAATTCAAACATTTCAATAACAGCAGAATCTAATAGATTATATCTTCCATTGTTCCTCTTAAAGGCATCGATTACAGGTGCAAACAAATTTCCATTTACAATATACCGATTATAAAATTCGTCTTTGAGACCAATTATTTTCCGCATAAAACGCAGGGCACCTATTTAATAATAAAAATTTTTTAAATTATTTATGACTTTAATTAAAAATTTTACATGCTATTTGAAAAAACAGATTATTATTAGAATGTTTCTTCACAGTACAAACTGCAAAACAGATTTAAATGAAATGAAATACAAAGAAAATTTAATATAAATACTTTTATTCCTGAATTTTGACTTGAATATGGGACAGATCACTTTTCACACAAATGTAAATATAAGTTTGAATATCTGGCCTCATGAATATAGTTTTTGGAAGGAAACATTTAAAAGTGCATTCTATAATTGTGGTTATTTCATAGAATATCAAACTTATTTTTCTTTCATCAATATTGATGTAATTTAGTACAAATAATTATATAAACAGATTATTTAAATTGTTTATTTCTTCATGAAATGCTTTTATTCAAAATGAAATGTAACTCTTATGCAAAAAGATTTATTGTTGGCCATTGACTTTTTATTGCTTTTATACTCTATTTTTAAATATTTATTACATGTTTTTATAATATATATACAGACTTCTCTTTCTTCAAAATCCTAGTTTTAATTTTGACAAAAAATTTTCTTTTATTTTTTAGTAAAAAAATAATAACTAATTTAAGTCATAAATTAAAAGGAAAAACAAAACAATAAAAATATTTTTAAGATATAAATGCATTAACACAGATGGTCAATTTAAAACTTCTGAAAAAAATATTAAATTAATTATTTTTTTTTTAATGATAAGAGCATAAGTTTATCAAAGCAATACTGATTCTAGTAATCATTACTTCTTGTCTAATTATAGTGAAGTATTGTCATCATTGTTGTCATCCCATCATCATAAGAAACAATCTGAACTTAAATTTAACAAGTAAAACGGCAAAACCATATTTGGGACAAGACTATGTCTTGGACACTCACTACTAAGCAGAATCACTTTGACACTCAAGGCGGGCCTCGTTCTCATTCTCCAATCTTCTTTGTTATTGCTGCTTTTGGGCGCGATCGTTCAAACTTTGTTGTCCACGATGCACTTTCAATGAAATTAACCTATCCAATTTCGAAATTTCTCTCAGTTGCGTGTTGGTCCAGATTGAATTTTTGTCAATGCATAACAAAAATTTCCCGTTTTTGAAAAAAATAATCGTGGCTATTGTATTGTCTGAAATTATTTTTTTATTTTGCACAAACAATATACAGTTTAACCCAATTATAATGTCATTGAATGTAATGACAACCCTAATATAACGTTAAATTTTTATCTGTCCTATGATTTTACCATACTAGATAATGTTAAAAAACCCACCTGTAACGACATAAAACTGTTTTAACCAGGGCTGTGGAGTCGCGTAAAAATCTACCGACTCCAACTCCGACTCTTCCTTATCATCCGACTCCGACTCCACAGCCCTGGTTTTAACGTCATATTTAAAGCACTCCAAAATTACATTACAAATTTTATATAACATAGAAGAAACTATGTGTTCAGTCCTAAGGTCAGAGTTCACTCCTTAGAATGACTGTAGTTGGTACTCTCCCCAACCAGACTTCAGTGGGGTGAGGTGCCTGTTTTGCCTGTTTGTAGAAGAGGGTCGCCATTTTGTATATTATTTTGACTTGGTTCTCAGTTCCCTGACTACCTACGAGTCTGGATTTATGCGCAAATGATTTGGGCTCCTAATGCTCTGTGCCAAATATCAACTCTCAGTTGATATTTGGCACAGAGTATTAGGCACCTCACCCCACTGAAGTCAGGTTGGGGAGAGTACCACCTACAGTCATTCTAAGGAGTGAACTCTGACCTTAGGACATGTACACCTTCATACCTCTAAGCTGATAATATTGACCGGCAGTACGATTTTATAAACAAGATATAGTCTTGTCAATTATTATTTTTTAACACATTTTGAAAAAATCAGATTTACCATTATTTATTCTGAAAAGTGTTTTAAAAAACTTGATTAAAAAGATAAATACTGCTGTTTAGAGTTATGAAAACAATTTCCATGTTGGAAAGCTATATAGATGTATAGGCAGATGCATATGAACAACAAAAGTTTTTCAATCTTGAATTTTCATTATTATGTTTATTTTTGACCAACATTTCAAACTATCATATGCCATTTATTGGAACACCATTCTGAAGTTTCAATAAAACTTGAAATTACAAAATTTGAATGGCTTTTGATGTGTTACAAAAAAATTTCAGTTACCAGAACACTATTTTGTACAGAAAAGCACACCAGGCAATATAGAATTATTCTATTTAATAATGATACAAAAATCTTCATTCATAAAATGTAAAATGCCATAAATTAATGTAAATAATATGATAACGACAAGTTTTCAATAAATACTTGAATCACAAATGACATAAACATGCTTTTTCTTCTGGTTCTAATTAGATTTGCTATGTTGAAGGATTTAACACATGATTAACAAATTGATTTCTTAATGCTGCTATTATCAACTCTGCAATTAAAACAGTTATCTCAGTTCAGAATATTAAAAAAAATTTTTTTTTTTTAAAGTAAGATTTTCTAGATCCCAAATTCCAATCTCTTCTATTATTATATATTACAAAGTTTTCATTCTTTTCTGTAAGTGATCAAAATAAATATATCAAACAAACCAAATTTTTAAGTGAAAACATGCATTCTTTGATCGGTTTATCAAAGAATTTTTTCTTTATTATATTTACTATTTTTGAGATAAAATAACAATAAATACTCACCAAGAACAAGGAATGTATGCTTTGACTGCATGAGTACCAAAATCCTGCGCAACAAATCCTTATGAAGGATGTAATTTTTAATATGATAAGTATGATGTTCCACGCAAAAAGATAGAAGCTCCAGTATTAAACCGAGTAACTGTGCAGTTTGTATATCTTCTAAAAAGACAAATTTTTAATATAAATATTAATTAAGACAATTTGTTCTAAAAAATATATATACACATATACATAACATTATATAATGAAATTCACAAAATAAAGAAATGTAATGGAAAATAAATATATATATGGCATTTTCCATATACATTAACTTATTTGTTTTAATAGAAGAGAAAATGACAAACTCAATATTTTCAGGAACCCAATGTTTATTAAAACATGAATTCTGGAATATGAGTGACTTTAAAACTCATATTATATAAAATAATTTATTATTTAACATACAAGCTAAGAAAAACTTATAAAATATTCTAAACACAATTTATGTCATGAAAATTTGATATACATTCATATACAACAGTATGATACACTATAAATTTAATAGAATATAAACAAAATTATAACTTAATCAAGAACAAAATGTATTCTGATGATTATTTATCACAAAGAACCTTTTACAATCCAAAAGGCCACATTTCCTTTCAGAGGGATCTTATAAAACCATATATGTTGTATAACAAGTTGTGTTAGTATGTACACATTCAGTACACATACATCAAAAATACATATAAAATCATATTTAGATGGCTATTTTTATTAAAAACAAAAATACACTTTCATAACTGAAAATTCTTGGGCCCACCAGTGACCAAGTGGATAAAACCACCAACCACTAACCATGGATTTGTAGCTTGGCTTTGGCCATGGACAATTTTTCTCATATGTCAAACAATAAATAAAGGCCAGTTTTTCCATATAAAGTCCTCCATGAGGAATCCATCCTTGGCAGATTGCTATGTTGCAAACCAAATGAAAATTCATGACAGCAAAATTAAACCTGTGTCATTTTATGTTGTTATCAGATCATGCTAGAAGTTACTAAAGATTGCAGCAACCTATCTATAATTTAACTTTTTTAGACAGTTTCATTTTTAAATCAACTAAACTGAAATAAATATTTAATATATTTTAAATTTCATCAGTTTTTTTTTAATTGTTTAATAGTTAGTTCTTTTAGATTTTACATGCTTTTAACATGTCCAAAATTTATTAAATATATTGTACAAATGCCGTAGATTCTTGATAGTTCAAGGCACTACCACCCTAAAGTTAAAGTACAATATACTCAACCAGAACATGTGAAAATTACATATTTGGGCGATTTGCATTTGGTGTATGGGCCTGCAGATTGTAGTGGGCCAGCTGCACAGCGATTGTATGTGGAACAATATCCGATGAGGCGTATTCCCAGCCATAATTTCTTTGCAAGCCTGCACCAGAGGTTAGCTGTTTCTGTGTACATCACCGCTTCAGGAAAGCATTTCTGACCTTGCATTGCTATACGATTCTGAGTCGTCAGGATGCATCCCACCCCTCTTAGAAGTTCTGAAACGTTTAACTGAGACACCCTTATATATTCTGTATACTTCAAGTTTTCAATAATTTGAGGTTGTCTCATTCCCAACCAATTTGAACTATCTACTGCATTCCTTAATATTACTATTAATTTTAGTTTATAAAAAAAAAACAACTAATATTTCTGTTGGATAAAAATATATGCAAAATAGACATTTTTATTTATCATATTTAGTGTAATTTATATAGTAATAGTTGCTGTCTTTAAAACTGTCAAGGAGATTCATCTCTGTTTCTTACACAAGCTTAATTCATATGCTCAATACTGTCTGAATAGAAAATAGTTAAGTTTAGTCTACTGAGTAAATTAATCTTTATATATAATTTGCAGTTCTTTTATATTTTCAACTATTGAAAAGGGAACAGTGATATTATTCTTTTGTAACAATAATAATTATTTTTAATTGCAATTTTTCAAAACATTTACTAATCATCTACAAATAGTTTGTTCATTATGAAATGCATAAAAAATAATGATAATGATAAAAATCCCTACAATATAAATTTTTCTCATATTTTTTGCTTGAAAAATTAGGATTTTAATACTTAAGAATCTATTTAGTAAGAGATTAATATAAAATATTTAAAAACAACTCATTTTTTCAGTTTTAGAACAGTATTATATTTAATACAGGAAAAATAAATTTTCAATGTGACACATTTTCCATTATATAACAATCACAATAAGTTCTCTGTTGTTACAAACTTTAAACAAAATTTAAATTCAATTTATTTATTCTAGTTTATTATACAAAAACTTGTTTAATTGGAAAATATTTGCATAAATGCATAATAAATCATTAAATCATAATCCAAATTATTGATGATATATATATAATCAGGTTAATTTACAAAAATAACATAACATATAAAGAGTACAGAAGCTGAAATCTTTATATAAGCACCAAATTTTCATTTACCTTTCAACTTCCAGCACATAAAACTGAATGCAACTACCACTGGCTTTGACTAGTTTAAATATTTTCAAATGTTAGGAAGCTTAGTAGAACCATAGTTCTTATTCTTTAGCTGAAAATGGTCTCCAAAGAGGCAGAAAACATTTGTCTTAGAATACCTTTAGTGCTGGAAGTTGGGTGGTAAACAAAAATTTGGTTTTTATAACACAACATTCTTGACAATTTCTTAATGTTAAAAAAATAAAAGGATCCATTGATTGTAATACAGTAGAGCATCAATTATCCAAATGTCGATCAACCAAAACATCGGTTAACTGAAGCGTTCCAGTCGGACTGTGTCATGCTGAATTGAATGTTTTTGATACTAGATTAACTTCTGAAGTATAATTTTTTTTGTTTTTATATTTTTCAATATATTTATTTTGTTTGTACAAAATAAAGAAATAATTTTTAATAATACAATAGCCAGGATTATTATTTTAAAAAGTTTACATTAGGCTTAACACCGATGAAAATTCAACGCGAAGCAACACGCAACAGAGAAAAATTTAAACATGGGATATATTAACATACTATTATTGGGATATACTAATATACTTTATTAATAATGTATTTTTTCATATATAATCATTTATCCGAACAACCCCAGTTCCCAATTGATTCGGATAATCAATGCTCTACTGCACTTTCATGCTCATCATGAAATAGTTTAAAGATAATTAAGAAGCCAAATATACAGTGTAACAAAACTCCATGCCAATATTTTAGGGTCAAAAATAAGCTTAAAATTCTGTATAAACATTTTTAAAACTCCACTTTGTTTTCAAGATCTGACCTGACAAAAAAGACACCTTTCAAAATTTTCTGCTGAAGTACTAACAAACACTTCGGTTGTCAACTTTTTAAACTAATACTTCTGTCAATGATTTTAGGTAAGTAGACTACTGTAATAAAATAAAGCCTTATTCACTTTAAGATTTTGCAGTACCACTCTGCTTTACAGTATTAAAAATAGTTGGAAAGCAAGAGTTTTTCAATGTAAATTTACTTTGAATAACATTTCATTTTTTTAAATAAAATTAAACAATAAATTCACAAGAACTGCTCAAAATGGCCTTCACGTACTTGGAAACATAATTGTATACAGTGGCCAAATGCAAACAAGTTCAATTTCCATGTATTCAAAAATACCCTTTTCAATATTTAAAATAAAACTTTAGTTTTACCTGCTGGTAACACAAAAGTGGAAAACAAACAGTGATATCCTTTTGGAGGGAGATTTAAAATTGATTTCAAAAATAATTTTTGACAGCCAATCTTAAAAAAAAAGTTTGTACAGGATTTCAATCTTATTTTTGACCATAGAATTTATCCCTGAAATATCGACACAGAATTTCATTATACCCCATATAAATAAATAGAATCTTATAATACATATGTATAATAAAACAAAATCACATATTTCAATAGTAGCAACAATTCATTAGAAATCAATTTCCATATTTCCATCAATTGAATTAAAAAGTTTTTGCTTGATGTGAAAATTTCAACCAAATTGACTAGATAAATGAATCTCTACAGCATTTGCAATCCATACAATTATTGATATCTACCTTAATGTAATCTGTGCATCAAGATATTAATAAGATTTACAGGAACAAAGAATTATAATGTTATTCTTAGCTATTGCAATTGAAATAAAAAATGGGATAAGTTAAGGCAGGGGTCTCCAATATTTCTCTCAGATGAGCCACATGAGCTCCAAAAGACAAGTCTAGGAGCCAGATAAAAAAGATATGGACAAACATATAACTAAAACCTTATTCTTGCCGAGAAATATAATTTATTTGAAACAAACGTTTTCAGCCTGATTCACATGCTGAAAACATTTCTCGGCAAGAATAAAATGTTAGTTATATGTATAGTGATTTGCTGAGTACTTTATGATATTGATATGGACAAAAATCAAATTTTTTTTATTTCTGAATAACAATGGACATAAATAAATCAATGTGAAATTTCCAGTTACTTTTTGGAAAGAATGTCATCGAAACTGGAGATAAATTTTGTGGCACCCAATATTTAACTCTCCTTTAAATATTCATTAGACAGCAATGTTCTGTATTTTATTTTTACATATTTCATTTTTTAAAAAATTTGTATGCAAAAATATACAAAAGTAAAAATAAAAAATATTCCCTCATACATCAAAATTTACACCAATTCAAATTATCACGGCATTTTATTAATTCGTACATAATATGATTATTTACAAACACAAACAAATCAGAAAAAGGTGTACTTTCTTTAAATCTGTTTGTTTGGTGCAATTTTGGAAAAAATATAACATCATGGATGCCATAGGAAATATCAGCTTCGCTTGGCAAGAATTAACTGATAAATGTACAAACAAAGTGTGGAAGAAGTTATGGCTGAAGGCATCCAAGAATTCTCAATAAAAGCCTATCACTGTATTGTTAGATTGACCAAACTTAACCTAATCGATACAGCAGGAATAGGAGATGTAGATGAACACAATATTGAGGAGTTACCGCAGGTTTCTGGTGAGAGTCTTACCAACGACAATCGTCAATAACTGGCAGAACAAGAAATCCATGTGGAACTGAAAAATAGAGATTCTGAAAACAAAGAACCCAAAAAATT